GGGGGGGGGGGGGGGTCAGTCTAAGGACGAGACTTGCTAGGTTGACCAGGCTCCAGTGGATGGACCACACTGAAGGGCATTTAGAGAGAGAGAGAGAGAGAACGTGAGGTTGGGTGAGGGGTATTGGAGGGGTTAAGATGGAGTGATCTTACTGCAGTTAAAATTTATTGTATGAAATTATATAAAAAATTTCAACTAAAAAAATTCTTTTTTACATAATCTGAAATAGGGAAAAAGGCTCCACAGAAAGCGCCTTTAAGAACACTTTAGAATGATTTTTCACAAATGTCTCATTAGATTTTCATTGGAGGATTCACACAATTGTCGAAAACACAAGGTTAACTGAAAGAGCCAATCAAGTTCCACCGGCAGCCAGTCTGACCAATGAGAATCCGATCATCTGTATAAATTTTGGTCACTGCACCAAAGCCTGCAGTTCCAAGTTTGCGGAGCAAAGTTTTAGGCTATGGCACGCACGAAGCAGACGGCTCGCAAGTCCACCGGCGGCAAGGCCCCGCGCAAGCAGCTGGCCACCAAGGCCGCCCGCAAGAGCGCGCCGGCCACTGGCGGCGTGAAGAAGCCGCACCGCTACCGGCCCGGCACCGTGGCGCTGCGCGAGATCCGGCGCTACCAGAAGTCCACCGAGCTGCTGATCCGCAAGCTGCCGTTCCAGCGCCTGGTGCGCGAGATCGCGCAGGACTTCAAGACCGACCTGCGCTTCCAGAGCTCGGCCGTGATGGCGCTGCAGGAGGCCAGCGAGGCCTACCTGGTGGGGCTGTTCGAGGACACCAACCTGTGCGCCATCCACGCCAAGCGCGTCACCATCATGCCCAAGGACATACAACTGGCGCGCCGCATCCGCGGGGAGAGGGCTTAGATGCTCACCCGCCGTGGGCTTGGCAAAAGGCTCTTTTCAGAGCCACCTTCGGACTCATTGGAGAGTGTTTCACTTTGTCAGGAGGGGAGGGGACAGTATTTTTCCCTGAGCTGTATGGGTGTAGTTTCAGGAATCCTTGAGTAAGAACTCGAAATAAAGGGTTAATGGGCAGTATGTTTAACCTACACAAAGTTGACTGACTAGTGAGTTGTGCAACTAGGATAAATCGTTAGTAAAGAGCTAAGCCTCTGGTTCAAGGTATGAGAACTCTTAAATTTTTCTGATTTAATGGTTCAGCACTGAAAATTCTGAGGCGGATCAGAGTTAGGCTAGGGTATGGTGCTTTGTCAAAGATCTGGCCTGCCTCTGCCTTCTGCCTCTCCAGAGCAGTGCTGGGATGTAAAGGCATAGGCTAATAGTGAATCTTAAGACTGATGAGTTCAAGAGAGGAAAGGTCTGGTAGGGACCTGGGTTCTGTATCTCCAGAATTCAATAGGTCTTTTGAGGCTCAGAAGAGTACCCTGAAATATGTAACCATCCCTGCAGCTTTAGTCCCACAGCACCCAGGGATCAGCAAGTGCCGGGCAGAGCTTTGTCTCAAGTTCTCCACCTAAGGGCCAGTTCCTTCACTTGTTCTGAATCTCCTCAGATACTTCCATCAACTGAAGGAACTGGACTCATGACTGGAGTCATGAGTCACACACCAGAGCCTAGAGAGAGAAATCTTGTTTCCAGACTGTTTGAGTCCATTCATCTTCCATAAAATGTATTTTTCCTATAAAATTGCCTACGTCTCATCCCTTCCTGTGAAGAGAGATAATTTTGTGTTTCACTGAGTTAAGGAGTGTACTCATTCTCCTCTGACAACCAGTGAACTTGAATGTTTGTCCTTTCTCCTGTCCATGTTTCATACTCAAATATCAAGTTTAAGGAAGCTTTTAGGAGCATGGTTGGTGATTACCGTGACCAAGAAAGCAGGGGGACTTCACTGAGATGGTGATGCAGGCCTTTAATCCAGGCACTTGGGAGGATGAGGCAGGAGGATCTCTGAGTGCCAGGCTAGCAAGTTTGGTCTATACTCAAGTTCCAGGCCAATCAGGCTGACAAAAAAATAAAGCTGTGTGTGTCTGTGTGTGTGGTGTGGTGTGTGTGTGGGGGGGGTGTTAACAAGATAGCAGGGAAAGTGAAGAAGGTCCTGTGCCTCTCAAAAGTTAGTATTCTTGTGTGTGTGTGTGTGTGTGTGTGTGTGTGTGTGTTTTGAGGGAAGGAAAAACAAGAATTAGGAGACAGACTACTAAACTAATTTTGAATAAAAAGTAAGAAGATTAAATTTAAAATAGCCTACCTAATTCAGAAACTTTAAAAATATAAAAATAAGCACAAGAAACTCAGTTGTCAAGGAGATAAATAGGCAGCACATCAAAGGAATTAGGAATCTTAAGGAATCCTCAGTGAGCCTTGGATCAACAGGCAATCCTCAGAACACAGGAAAGACAGGTACACCTCACTTATTCATCTCATCAAGATGAAAGGGAGTCATGTGTGACATAAAATACCAGAATACTTCTCTTGAAAAAGTACATCCTAAAAAAACTTTTTTTTTTTTTTTTTTACATTTCCTATTTTGCATGAATGCCACAAAATCTGCAGGTTGAAGTCAGGAGACAACTTGCTGGAAAGTTCTCTTACCATGTGGTTTCCAAGGATGGAACTCATACATCGTGTTTGTTAGCAAGCACACTTACCTTTGAGCCGTCTTATCAGGCACAAGTATATGCCTTCAACTGTGAGGAAAATCTCATCATTACTCATTCCACTTAACAGGAAATGGGGGTCCACTTGGTGATTTGCTAAGGTTTGGGTGGGTAGATTTTTTTCCTTTTTGGTCTTTTTTGAGACAGGGTCTCCCTGTAGCCCCAACTAGCCTGGAAATCACTATGTACACCAGGATGGCCCTGAACTCACAGACTATATCTGCTGCCAGGTGCTGGGATTAAAGGTGTGTTGCCACCACACTCGGCTGGGAAGAAACATTTTTTAAATATTTAAAAGCAACAAAATCCCCAAACTCTTTAAGAAATCTTCAGTTAGTCTGTTTCCTTCACACAGGGTGTGAGAAAAGCATTAATAAAAAAATCTCATTTAACAAAGAATTTGTAAATAATTGCACATCTGATCTAACAACATGCAAGTCAATTTTGGAGGGATGGAAAGGTTATGAACCCTTTCCTCACAAGCCAAAGGGATCCTGGCCAGAGACCTAAAGGACAGGCTAATAATATGAGAAAACCATTGTAGATTCATTTGTTCATTTACTTTGCAGTCCTGGGAGTTTAATTCAGGGCCTTGTACATACTAGATAGGTGCTCTGGGCCACTCCTTAGCTGAGTAATAGATTTATCTCACCAGAATTTAAGTGATATAGGAGACTTCAGAAAGAAAAACTCAAGGAATCTCAAGGGGAAATACCCATTTTTATGCTTAGATTTGATGAACAGACAAATGTGTAGAAATGTGACTGTACAAATGGGGCCTGGCCTAAAGGTTATATAGGTCAAAGGGGAGCCTCAGTGAGGCCTGTCTGTCCAGATTCTTCTTGATCTGCATGCAGGCAGCATTCTTTCCTTCTGTGTATGCAGCAGGACTCCCCTGGGTTTGGGAAAGGAGAGAATGGACAGTTTAGAGCCTGTGCCTTGCTTTGGACAAGTGAAATTCTCGTTTGTGCTACTTGCGTTGCAAACTGTGGTTTCTATGACAAGATTCAGAAGAAGGGGACTGTGAGACAGGAGGGTAGAGAATACAGATTTGTATATGAGACACGTTTATGCCCTTCATTATTGAACTCTGCGCTGCAGCAAGGTGAATGTTCTCAAGGTAAGCCATGGTTGAGGCACCAAACCAGAGTATCTAGAGTACACTATATTGGAGACTTAATACTCCACCCCAAATATGTCACTTGGTTATAATAATTATTTTAAATTGATAATTTTGAGAAACAATGGACAGGGGGTAAGTGCAAATACCAGGCAAAAGTTCCTTTTTGTTTATAAAGGAACACAGATCACCTTATATTAATAAGTGAAATTTCCCATGTGAAAGTTGTTCTGTACCATACCAGAAGAGAATGGCTCCCAGGGAGGATTCCTACTAGGTCGGCTTCCATCCTTACCTGGTGTGTTGACCCTCCTGCCATTAATCCCCTTCACAGTAGCTGATAGGCCTCGGTCTGCCTCTCTGGGCTTTTATTCCAATTCTGCAAAGCTCCTCTGTGCATCTTTCATAAATCTTTGTCCCTGTTAACAAGCCTTTTACAAATTTAATAAGGAGGACCCCAGTGACTAAATGTAAAAGCAGAAACAGACTCATTAAAGGAATACAACCATACACTGCTGTGCTTGAACCATAATCATAGGTTAGAATGCACATGGAGCAGCTGACACCTAAAATAAAACCCAACATTTGTTCCAGGAGTAATCAGCCAAGCATGCTGACATATAAAGGGTTAATATTACTGACATTCCAGGTAAGAGAAGCTGGTGGGTTAGGAGAAAAATCAAAGTTGCTCTGAGCAGAATTTGCTACCAGTTAGAGGTAGAGCTGGGTCTTCCATCATTCCAAAGAAACAATAGAAACCACCAGGCACTGTTTGAAATGTTTTTATCTGTACTAAAGTCATCTCTGGTCTCTACATTGTCTGTCTTATTTGCAAATTTAAAGGAGAGGGACTCTGGGGCAGTAGATTTCTGACAATAGAGAAAAAGGACAGGCAGAACTGAATTCTGAACAGGACTTTCACCTCTACAATCTGCCAAGAAATACAGTAAAAGCTGTGGGTGCATCCTGACGTGTTTCCCTGAATGAAGAAAACATTAAGTTGCTTCTCGCCAGAACTGTGCCAAGTCCGAAAGAAGTAAAGGGAAATCCCCGGTGTTCAAACACCGCTTCTGCCATATAAGGAAAGGTAGAAAACCAGCATTGGGAAGGCCGAGAAAACCTACACTGAAGTTTCAGTAAAGCCACGTTAACTACCGTCAGCCCTCTGGACCTGTTTATCTCCCGTTATAGAGAAAGCACTTTGCACAGCGGTTTCACAAAGGTCTGAAATAACTGCGCTCTCTTAAGATGGGCGACTCATATCCATCAACCACGCAAAATAGTGTGGTCGGCGCTGAGGAGGAAGGCAGGAAGCCGGTCTGGACGCAGAAGTGGGTAGCACCAACTCTAGGTGGACGGAATTATTTTCAAATAGGCCTTTCAGAATCTGCACGTTCCGCACGGTCTTTTCCATTTTTCCTGAAAATCCGGGCTATCCTCTCTGGGAATCAACTAAGCAAATACAGGTGGCAGGATGTGTTCCCAATCAGGTCCGGTGCGCCGCCGTGGAAACACTGCCCCCTACTGTTTGACCCTATTGCCTTTTGTTTCTGGCACCTTTGCGCGCGGCAAGGGCGGGAACCTCATGGGCAAAGGCACCAAGCGCCAGCGCAAAGTTTTGCGCCATAACATCCAGGGTATCGCCAAGCCCGCCATCCAGCGCCATCAAGCGCATCTCTGTCCTCATCTACGAGGTGATGAAGGTCTTCCTGGAGAACGTGATCCCCACACATTACAGCTTCTGCTGCTAGGTCTCCAAATCATCCTTTACTGTAATGGCCCCCAGTCTGCACATCTACGGCCTGTGATTCCGCAAGTCAGTGATCATGTAACTTTTGCAAATGGGTGACAAGCGCCCGGGAGTTCCTTTCCGTGTTATTGTAACATACTGGCTAAGCGTAGCTTTCTCTAGAGTTGGGCCAAATCCTCGCTGCCTTCTGGCTTGGTAAATAAAGATGCAACCGGGCTCACCCGGTTTGAAATACGTTCCCGCCACAAATGCCGGGTCTGCATCTTTTAAGGCACTTTCCTTTGGAATGGTCTTAGGCGCGCTCAAGTTAAGTGCTGGGGATTCAGGTCAAGTAATTTCGATACAATTTCCCACTCAGCTTTTTCAATAGGTTTGTAACAAATAATGCCGCTCCTGTTTAAATAATGTAAAAACTTTTGATACTCAAAGCCAAAATTTTGTTGGATTATTAATGACTGGAAAACCCCAGAATTTTTTTTTTTGTCGGTAGGAAATATTCGTACGTTTCTTTAAAAACTAGGTAGGAATGTTTCCTTTCATTACTGTATCTAGACGCCAACCAATCCTGTGGCTGGAATGATGAAGTCAGCAGTCTACCGTCCAATCATAACCCGAGACTCGTTATATATTCCGGAAAGTAGCAGCCATTTTAGTCACTGAACTAGTGCCTGTGTGTCTCCATGGCTCGAACTAAGCAGACGGCTCGCAAGTCTACCGGCGGCAAGGCCCCGCGCAAGCAGCTGGCCACCAAGGCCGCCCGCAAGAGCGCGCCGGCCACTGGCGGCGTGAAGAAGCCGCACCGCTACCGGCCGGGCACCGTGGCGCTGCGCGAGATCCGGCGCTACCAGAAGTCCACCGAGCTGCTGATTCGCAAGCTGCCGTTCCAGCGCCTGGTGCGCGAGATCGCGCAGGACTTCAAGACCGACCTGCGCTTCCAGAGCTCGGCCGTGATGGCACTGCAGGAGGCCTGCGAGGCCTACCTGGTGGGGCTGTTCGAGGACACCAACCTGTGCGCCATCCACGCCAAGCGCGTCACCATCATGCCCAAGGACATACAGCTGGCGCGCCGCATCCGCGGGGAGAGGGCGTAAATTATCCTGATGTCATGTTAGTATAATTGTAAAAGGCTCTTTTCAGAGCCCCTCAATTGTCAGCAGAGGGAGCTGTCAACCTGTCAGTTGTGATAATTGCAAAAGGCTCTTTTAAGGGCTTCTATTAAGGAGCTGTTAAGATTACGTTTTTGAAACTGGACTTCCTAGAGGAAAGCTGCAGTAGCTTGTTTCAGGTTTCTTTGCTCCCATCAATCTGCAGTAAGGGTTGAGTGGACCCCTTCAGTGGCAAACCAAGTTCGGCCATAGTAACGGCAACTAACCTCCTAGATCAGTTTCTTTTGCTGGAGGCTGCTCTCCACTAATGAATTTGTTTTTGCAGTACACTTTAAGTACCTCTTGGAAAGTGAGTCCATGTAAAGACAATTATTTTATACCCTACATGGAATTCTAAGTTCCTGGTTTACCAGTTTTTAGCTGTCACCTGTTTTGGAAAGTTACTGGCAGGATCTTTGTTCAATAGCTTCTCCAGAACCCCTCTAGGATTTTCCCTGCCAAGTGGTATTTTCTGCATCTCACAAGGGTAGATGTTATAGCTAACAGGTCCTTGTAAGTTTCTCATCCTCTCTGGTGATTTGGTCCATAAGTAAAATATGACAAAGGAATGAAAGTTCACAGCTCACCACTATGATAACTTTCTGGAGCTTCATTAAGGTTTAATGAGTGGTTGTAGCCACTGTGTTCCCCAAATCTTTGTGACTCTAGCAGTGGAAAGTGTCTGGTTAGAACATTCTGTAGTTTTTCAGGTGATTTTTGTTTTTTTGTTTTGGTTCTTAGACACAGGGTCTCTTTGTGGCCCCAGGTGGCCTAGAACTGGCTATGTAGACTTAAGCTAGCCTAGAGCTCACAGAGATCAGCCTGCTTCTGCCTCAGGCATACTGGAATTAAAGGTGTTTCACCACAGGCTTGACCTCTTTCTCTTTCTCTTTCTCTCTCTCTCTCTCTCTCTCTCTCTCTCTCTCTCTCTCTCTCTCCCAGGCCTCATTTTGTAGGCCAAGCTGGCCTGAAACTTAAGACAAGAATCCTCTTGCCCCAGTCCCCCAAGACCTCCCAAGTCCTGGTATGGTTTATTATAAGATCTCTTGTGAGTTTTCAATTATGTTTTGGGAAAGAAACCTGGAGGAAATCCGTGTGAAATAAATCAAAATGTGGCAGGAAGGTAGCCATGATTTTAAAGTTTGTGAAATGCATACGTTCTCTTTTCTACAAAATATTTAAATGGTGAAGAAAAATTCCAATCTTGAGGAATAAAAATAAGCTGAAGTCTATCTAGGTTTGGCTGCTTTGCCTACCCTTTCCAGAGCTCCTTAATAGGTCACATAGTATGTCGGTCACTCTCGCTTCTGAAGAGGTCAAGCAATATGTTGTCCACTTTAGGTTACTGTACAGAGCTTTTCACTGGCAAGAAAGACTTTGTATGTTTGTTCTGAGGCAAAGTCTCATGTAGTTCAATGTTCCAGGTTGCACTCAACTGGATGTGTAGCTGAGAAAATTCTTGAAATCCTAAACTTGCCTCCATTGCCTAATTAGTTAGGATTACGGGTGTGGCCCCACCAAGCCTAGTTCAAGAAAGGCTTGTCAAAAGAACATTTTAATTTTTTTCTCAAAAAGAACAGCTTTGTGGTTTGTTTTATTATACATCTGAATAAATCTCATGATCTGCATTATCATGCTGGTACAAAAATACTGTACATTTTCCCCTCCACAGCAAGCCTCAACTTCTCTCCATAATAAAGTTCATCTCCCCTCCACAGCAAGCCTTATCACCTCCCATTCTAATCTCTTTGCCTTATTTATGTTCTTAAATTCTTTCGAACCTCTATAACCTTCAGTCTTCAATACAGAAATCAACTTCAAAGTCAATATCCAACTATTCTAACATATTGGTCTGTCTGCATCCAAAGTGCAACAATACCTATACTGGTACATCTTGATGGCTGACCTAAGACCATGCACCATGGTGCTGATTGCTAAGTGTTCGTGGAGTGCTTTGAAAACTTTACTAGTCATCTCAACAAGGAGTGCCTTTGAGGACTGAATGAAGAGTCTGGATAATTTTCTGTATGTTTTATAAATTTTCTAAAGCAAATTATCTACATTAAGTGTCTTTCTGTCTCTAAATCTGCCCAGGAAATAACAAAAACACATTAATCAAAGACATACCAAGTTGGACTTTGAATTTGGGTGACTGGTCTTGAAGCCACTGACTTCTACTTTTCCTTCTATAATGAAGTGCCTTTTCAACTAAACTTTAAAACTGAAAAATCACATTCTCTAATAAAGACAGCAATATCCAAAAAAAAAAAAAAAAAAAAAAAAAAAAAAAAAAAATACTAGGCGCTTGAGAGGAAGGTTTAACGTGGTTATCAAGAGTCTGTAGCCAACCAGCCAGGATGTGCCTGTGTTACTTGCTACAGTTACAATGAAGTTGATACCCAAACCAAGAAAGATACTAGCATTCCTTCTACAAAAATCCAAGGCGGAACCTGTTGGCAAATCCTTTCTAATAATGGTCCTTGGATACTTAGGATACGTTTGTGGAAACAAGTGAGTAACTACCAGGATGCCCTGTCTTGGTGGATTCTTAGGAGTCACTGAAGAGATTTTTTAAAAATATCTTTAGTCGGTTGCATGTGATTCACGAAGTCAGGAACAAGTACGAAGACCCAAAGGCTGTCCTCCTCTGGAACTTCGAAGTGTTAAATTCTGTGCCTTTGCTTTCAGAATTTAATCAAATTTTGGAGACCAACAAACACAATTTGGCAGTCTAACCTTGAGCCGCGGCGGCCAGAGGGCGGTGGATTTGGACGCTCCACCAATCACAGCCCAGCGCCGGATTATATAAGCCCGGGGCCTGAGCAAGGATGCGTTACAAAACTTGCTCATTGCATTTTGATTCTGCTTCTCTAGCAGCTTCCACTCAGCATGTCGGAAACTGCCCCTGCTGAGATAGCCGCGCCAACCCCGGTGGAAAAGTCTCCTGCCAAGAAGAAGGCAACCAAGAAGGCGGGCGCGGCCAAGCGCAAGGCGACCGGACCCCCGGTGTCCGAGCTCATCACTAAGGCCGTGGCGGCCTCTAAGGAGCGCAATGGCCTCTCTCTGGCCGCGCTCAAGAAGGCCTTGGCCGCTGGTGGCTACGACGTGGAGAAGAACAACAGCCGCATCAAGCTGGGGCTCAAGAGCCTGGTGAGCAAGGGCACCCTGGTGCAGACCAAGGGCACCGGCGCCTCCGGCTCCTTCAAGCTCAACAAGAAGGCGGCGTCCGGCGAGGCCAAGCCCAAGGCCAAAAAAGCGGGCGCGGCCAAGGCCAAGAAGCCCTCAGGGGCCACACCGAAGAAGCCCAAGAAGGCTCCGGGGACCAAGAAAGCGGTGAAGAAGACTCCGAAGAAAGCGAAGAAGCCTGCCGCCGCCGGGGTAAAAAAAGTGACCAAAAGCCCCAAGAAGGCCAAGGCTGTCGCGAAGCCCAAGAAGGCCGCCAAGAGTCCTGCGAAACCCAAGGCAGTGAGGCCAAAGGCGGCTAAGCCCAAGGTTGCCAAGCCAAAGGCAGCTAAGCCTAAGGTCGCCAAGGCCAAAAAGACGGCTTCCAAGAAGAAGTAGGGAGTTGGCCTGGATAGCCAAGACAAACCCCAAAGGCTCTTTTCAGAGCCACCCAGGGAGCTCAGAAAATGGCTGTGCACTCCGTTTACTTTATGGGTATGTTTGCCCTGCATAAAATATGCTGCGAGTGTGCCATGCAATACCCCAGGAGGTCAGAAGAGTGCATCAGTCTCCTGGAAATGGGAGTTAGGAACAGGTCTAAGTTGGCGGGGGGAGGGGGAAATCGAACTTCTGGCTCCAACCCCTGAACCACGTCTCCAGCACCTCAATTTTAGTTTTCAGATATCGGAAGCAACTCTTAAATGGTATATGTCCAAATTAATAAGGAAAGTACATGCGTGCCCACCTTGACTTTCTTAATGGCTAAACTACACTAAGGCTCAGCGATTCACATTGACTTAGCCCTTCTCGGCGAAGCGACTTAGTTGACCCTCGAAGTAGCCTTGCTGCACCGCCTGGATGTTGGGCAGGACGCCGCCCTGCGCGATGGTGACGGCCCAGCAGCTTGTTGAGCTCCTCGTCGTTGCGGAAGGCCAGCTGCAGGTGGCGCGAGATGATGCGCGTCTTGTCGCGGGCCGCGTTGCCCGCCAGCTCCAGGATCTCGGCCGTCAGGTACTCCAGCACGGCCGCCAGGTAGACCGGGGCGCCGGCACCCACCCGCTCCGAGTAGTTGCCCTTGCACAGCAGCCGGTGCACGCGGCCCACGGGGAACTGCAGGCCGGCCCGGGACGAGCGGGTCTTGGCCTTGGAGCGTGCCTTTACGTGCGCAGACGTAGTAGAAATCTTTTAAGTTTGTACAGCTTGAAGTTACAGTCGTAACTGATCTGCTTACAGTGAACGCAAGGCGCGAAAAAGGAGCGATCTCATTGGTCACACTTAATAGAATGATTAATTTACTCTGATTGGTCAATATTAATGTATGGCGTCACTGGAACACTCGCCAGTTAGAAATGTTATTTTCATCTCCTAATTTGCATAATACAGTATTAAAGAACACAAACTTAATTATTTCTTTCCCCTGATCCTAATTTTCCTCTTTTGTCAGCTACCCGAGTGACTTCACAAAGTCAGCGCCCGCCCCGAAGAAGGGCTCCAAGAAGGCGGTGACCAAGGCACAGAAGAAGGACGGCAAGAAGCGCAAGCGCAGCCGCAAGGAGAGCTACTCAGTGTACGTGTACAAGGTGCTGAAGCAGGTGCACCCCGACACGGGCATCTCGTCCAAGGCCATGGGCATCATGAACTCGTTCATCAACGACATCTTCGAGTGCATCGCGGGCGAGGCGTCGCGCCTGGCGCACTACAACAAGCGCTCGACCATCACGTCCCGGGAGATCCAGACGGCCGTGCGCCTGCTGCTGCCCGGGGAGCTGGCCAAGCACGCCGTGTCCGAGGGCACCAAGGCAGTCACCAAGTACACCAGCTCCCAGAGCTGCCCAAGTGTTAAAGGTTCTCTTCTATAGTAGGTGGACAAAGGCCCTGAAGTCCTTTGCTTAGTTACTTGGAATGGCGCATTATGGTCGTTTGCTCTTTTAACCAAGATAGTGTTATCCAGCTGTTCACGTGAACACCCCAAATGAGAACTTTATCGTGCTCATTTAACATGGAACCCGATTTTAAAGTTAAGCGTGTAGCTTTCAAGTTCTTTTGTTGTTTTTCTTTTTTTTTTCTGTTTTAAGACCTGGTCTCCCTGTAGTCCTAGCTGGCCTAGCACTCACTATACAGATGAAACAGGTCTAATGTCACAGAGATTTGTCTGCGGTTGCCTCCGGAGAGCTGTGATTAAAGGTGTGCACCACTCCGCCCTGCTCTTTGTTTTTAAGGTAAAATTGTTACCGACCATAACTGTCATTAGCTGGACGTTGCACATGTTTCACTGACCTCCTTTAGGATGGCAGTGACTCAAGTAAGCACATTGTTTTAAAGGAGACTTTCAAGCCATGTTTTGTAATTTAGTAAAGTAGGTGTTGGGGTGTGGTTTTTTTTGTTTTTTTGTTTTTTTTTAAGATGGTATTTGTGTTTGTTTTGGAGGTTTGTGAGTTGTTTTTGTTTTAAATCCTAAAATCAGCAGGGCATGGTGGTGCATATTTTAATCCCAGCACTCAGTAGGCAGAGGCAGGCAGATCTCTGAGTTCAAAGCCATCCATAGTAAGACCCTGACACAAATAAATAAATAATAATCCTAACAAGGGTATGGATGCAGTTTTCCAAGAGTTTTTTTTTTTCTGTTCTTTTTTAAATTTTATTTTATTGTTAATTATGTGTATATGTGTACACCTGGGAGTTCAGTGCCTGTGTTGGCTAGACGAGGGTGCTGGATTCAGGATCCTGGAGATTCAGAGGTTTTGAGCAGCACAAAGTGGTTCCTGGGAACTGAACTTGGTTCCCCTACAAGAGCAGCAAGTCCTCTTAATTCCTGAGCCATCTCTCCAGGTCTTGGTACTATTTTTCAGGAATCAGTGGGGTCAATGTGGAAATAAAAATCCTGATCATTCTCTAAGCCTCCAAGTATTTAAATCTTAAGATCCAGCAACTTTATTATTTTCCTAGGTATCATGCAATCTTTTCCCATGAAAAGGAAGATGTTAGGTGTGGCTGTGGGAATAAAAAAATAAAAATCACAAAATTTGGACTTTTGTACAAAAAGGTAAGGGCTGAGTCTATGAACCAAAGCCAATGGCTCTTCTCCTTGGTCTGCAGAATGTGACTGGATCAACAGGTGTTACTGGATCTGAAATTACTCTTACTGATGTAGTGAAGAAATGGACTATAAGGTACAGTTACTTCCTGAAACACACTGTCTGCATTGTCATAAAGTCCCTGTTCAGAGACACCTGCAGTTTGTATTTCTGTGAGCCTTTCCTGAGTATTCCCACTCTTACTTTTCTCTTCTTCTACCTTTGTCCCTTGTCCTTTCTAACATATGTGCTTCCTGTCTGGATGCAAGCTGGGGTCTCTTTTTTTCCTGCATATCTGTGTAACTCAAGAATCGTTTTTTCTTTCTTTTTTGGTCTTTTTGAGATGGGGTCTTCCGGTAGCCCCAGCTGGCCTAGAACTCACTGTGCAGACGAGGTTGGCCTTGAACTCACAGGGATATGCCTTATTTCTGCCTCCAGAGTACTGGGATCAAAGTTATGCACTACCAGCCCAGCCAGACTCAATAATATCACGAGTATGATTTGTTTCTTGAGTCTTATTTCAGTGTTGTATATCGTTGTTTTATAACACACAACCACCATCAGTTTGGTTCTCTATGGTTTTTGGCCTACAGGCCTCACAGTAGTTCCTACTTTCCAGAATTAGGGGAGTAACATCAAAAAGCATGTGGCTACTTTAAGAGGTCAAGATTTTTGGCATTCTGAAGTTTCTGGATTTGTTAATTGGAGATAACCTTAAATAATAGTCCTATGTCTTTTGTTACACAATATTACCTCCAAGATTTGAAGTAAATAATTTATATAGTTTTATATTTTGGAAACATTTCATAAATCCCTATAACATTCATATCATCTTTACATATACCTAATATTATCTGAGGTAAATGAGGTCTAACTTTATCATCTTAATTTTCTTAGGCAAATGAAGGAATTTTAGAAAATTATTGAATACTATAGTTTTATATTATTATTATTAGATGTGACATAAAAGTCTTTTAAAATGTTTATAGTCATAAGACCCATATTAATAGACATTTTCATTTGTTCTGAGCATCTGAGAAATGTTCTCTGGGAAATAGTTGAATCCATATTTTATTATAAGCAAAAAAAAAAGATTCTTTCAAGGTCTAATGTACATTAAAAGGTACATTTATATGCTGTGTAGAAAAAATAGTAGGATTGTTTCTAGAAAGATACACGCCTTACTGTTGTGTAGCTATGTCCCACAAATTGAAATGCTCCCTCTTGTGAGGGAGACTCCTAATCTTAAAAAAAAAAAAAAAAAGAAAGAAAGAAAAAAAAGAAGAAAAATACAAGACTCAGAAAACTCAGAAGATTACACAATGTACAGGGGCCCCTACACAACATGATTCTGTTGCTGGGGTTGGGGGCGGGGCACTGGTGTGGTTGCCTGCAAGCTCTGGGGACACAGCTTCCTGGGTCTCCACCTATGCTGGGCGGGCTTCTTGGTGATACACAGCTTCCTGGGTCTCCATCTATGCTGGGCGGGCTTCTTCGTGATACACAGCTTCCTGGGTCTCCACCTATGCTGGGCAGGCTTCTTGGTAATACACAGCTTCCTGAGTTTCCACCTATGCTGGGCAGGCTTCTTGGTGATACACAGCTTCCTGAGTCTCCACCTATGCTGCATGGGCTTCTTGGTGATACAGCTGTCTTTGAGTCACCCACATAAAAGTAGCCCTAATAAACTCACAATGTAATCAGTTGATTAGGGCTGCTTTTATGTGGGTGGCTGTGTCTTCCTTTCTTTTCCCGTTGATGTGATAAAATAGTCTGAACAAAGCAACTTAAGAAAGGAAGGGTTTATTTTTGCTCACAGCTTAAGGTACAGTCCACCGTGGTGGTGCAGCCAAGGCACCAGGAGCTTTCAACAACTGGTCACATTATACTCACAGTCAGAAGAATGAACTCCTGCTGCTGCCTGGCTCCATCACTTCCAAGTGGGTGCTGGGAATTGAACCTAGTGCTTTAAGCACTGAGCCATCTCTCCAGCACCCTACCTATTCAGTTTTAAATGTGAGGCCTTAATCAAAGATTCAAAGTCCCACCCCATCTCTCAGGACCTCAACCTTGAGAAACTTTAAATGACCAGCCCCTTATGCAAGTCTTGTGTATGATGCAAACTAAACAACTTAGGTTGTCTATATGTATTTTTGAACAAAAGGGAAATTATGCATCAAATGATTAATTGGTAGGACATAGCACACTTGTTCTTAAGTGAAAAAGGTATTTATTTCAGAAGTTTGCTAGCTAGGTATGAAGTAAGTAGACATACATGTGGCTTTATGTTTTCTTTTCCTTATTTTTTGTATAGTGGAAATCAATAATGTTACTGAAATATTATTTCTTTAATAAGAATGTTACTCTAGATTTTTTAGTTTACTTTTTTTTTCAGTAAGTTAAAAAATAACTCTTGGGGCTGGAGAGATGGCTCAGTCATTAAGAACACTGGCTGCTCTTGCAGAGTACCTGGGTTCATTTCCCAGCAGCCACATAGCAGCTAACAACCATCCAGTGCCAGGGGGTCTAACGCCATGTTCTGACTTCTGTGGACATTGCACTCATAGGTGCACTCACACACATGCAGGCAAAACACTGACACACATAAAATAAAAATAAATAAATAATAAATACAATGTCTGGAAAGTTCCATGGACTAAATTATCCATATCTTATTTTGACTTCATTATCACTTTAAAATTGTTATTTTATTTAAATAATTATTATAATTATTATTTTGAGACAGCATATGATTATGTAGTCCTGGCTAGGCTAGAACTTACTATGTAGTCCACAGATCCTCCTGGTTCTGCCTCCCGAATGCTGGGATTAAAGGTTTTCAACATCACACCCAGCTTCACTTCAAAATATTTAAAATGTTAATCTTTCCTTGATGCAAAATTCTATTGTGTATGCCTGTAGAGAAAATTCCTTTACTTTGGAATCTTGGGCAGGGATCCTCTAGCAAGATGATGGTCAACACAAAAGGCTTCTGATTACACTGAAATGTGTTCACTAGAATGAGGTTAAGCTATAGCACAAAGAGGCCTAGAGCATAGGAATACACCATTGGTGAGATTTTTGGGCCATCTTGTTAATACTTGTATTTTACACCTGAAGAAATGGAAACCACAGAGGTCAAATAGTAAAGGTGCTGACACATCAGAACCCAGGTCTCTGGGAATCCTGTTCAGTGCCTCTGTGTGTGTGTGTGTGTGTGTGTGTGTGTGTGTGTGTGTGTGTATGTGTAGAAGCCAAAAGAGTCAGGGTAGGGGCAGGGGAAAACTATTCTTCTGTTTACCATAATTTAGACAGCATTCTTGGTGCTGCTGAGAGTGAAGGACTACAGAACCCTGTGCCCCAGACCTAACCCTGGGAAGGGGAGGGGCCATACCAATGCCAGCTGTCTTCCCACTATACTCGCATGCACCTGTGGCCCT